GTGCCCCAATACACACCAATGGCACTTTGCAATTGGAGAAGAACCCAGACCTTCGCTTGGTTTGTCTGAGTACACGTTACGAGAAGGAAAAAGGCGGTCCGGACGGTGTTTGCAGATGTCCTCAGCAGCCCGTGGAGAAATGATGGTCACAGCTCCTGTCGGCAACACAGACTTCCACTCCTTCACAGTCGCCTCGTGGAAGCGCGGCCACTGAGATTATGTTATTTTGTGTCGTGGTATCTCGCTCCTGCGCTGCATTTGGCCGCTGTCAGACCTGTGGCTTTGTCCTTTTCGAACAACACATTGCACAAGATATTGTCTGTTGCGTCAGCGAACAAATAAGCAACCTCCTCCTCGTAGAACAATACGGTGCACCCGTGTTCTCCCACCATGCCTCCTCCACTGACCTCCTCCACCATCCCTCCTCGTCGCCTTCGTCGAGCGAATGATGGTGAGATGATGTAGGTCGTGTAGTACAAGGAGAATGCGCCGTACTTGTAGACGACGCGCCTGCCAGCATATCAGAAGAGAAAGCAGCAGGCTGCCAGCCTCCGCTCTCCCTCGGCTGTCAACGCATACTGCTCGAAGGATGGCCGTTCAGCCTGTCGACAGATCCTGGGGCAGAGAGGTCAAGCCGTGGTCGTTGAGCTGGCGGCTCGCCCTCTGGAGGCGGAGGGTCGTGGGCAGCAGCCGTGCGAGTCCTGGCGGTCGGCGTAGACTGCCCGTCGGCAGATGCCGGGCCACGTCCTTCGGATTCTGGCTCTGGCAGGGTGGAAGCAGTCTGCGCCCGTGGGCGAGCAGGACCATCAGGTTAAAGAGCGTTCCGGAGACTGTCGATATCAGCCTGGCTGATCTCCGGTTCCTGCTGTGGCTGGACTGCAGGCGGTGGTGCTGGAGGCGGCGGCTCCTGTGGCGACATGTTCCCGTCGTCGTCATCACCAGGGAGGTCCGCAGCAGGCGCTGGCACGTTCGCGTCTGGAGGTGGGTCTCCTTCGCGCTCTACATCGACGTATGTTCTACGGCCTGGGAACTCCTGGAGGTCCGTGGGCATGTCGTCGAGCAGCATGTTTTGAATCTTTAGTCCGCGAGACTCCTCTGTATTGGCCAACTTGCACTGGAGCTGACTGCACTTCCACAACGCCCCGCGCATATTGATCCAAAGGCTACCTCTGTGACTACAGGATGCACACTCCAGGGCCGACCCATTTGCCACGCTCGGAGGGAGGATGTGTTGTCCAGACCATGACGACGTCATCTGCCCGCAAAGGCGTTTGTACGCGAGGCCTGGCACGGAAAGCCTCCTCGATTCGACCCTTGATGGCCAACTTGCACTGGAGCTGACTGCACTTCCACAACGCCCCGCGCAGATTGATCCAAAGGCTACCTCTGTGACTACCGGATGCACACTCCAGGGCCGACCCATTTGCCACGCTTGGAGGGAGGATGTGTTGTCCAGACCATGACGACGTCATCTGCCCGCAAAGGCATTTGTACGCGAGGCTTGGCACGGAAAGCCTCCTCGATTCGACCCTTGATGGACACTTCAGCGTGGGCCTTCAGGGCCGCCTCCCAGATACGCCGGGACTCCTCGAAGCTAGGGTCCGACGCTGCAAGATCGTAGATGGCATTTGGGGCGTAGATGTCATCGCTGGCGAGGTCAGCAGGAAGGCGGTGCCCTATGCCGAATACCCGCTGTAGCGGCGAGTGTCCTGACCGATTACTCAGCCTAATCTTGGCAGCGTTACACTCAGATATCCAGCGACGAAATAATACAAAATCCGTGGGAGAATGTATCCAAACCGCTTTGTTAACAATCTGTTTGAAGATGTCCCCGTGGCGCTCCGTTCGGCCGTTTTGCCACGGGGCACGCGTGTCAGTCAGATGGAAGAGGATATTGTTCTGCGTGCAGAAGTCCTTGAAGGCCTGGCCTACAAATTCTCCGCCTTGGTCGGTGATGACGACAAGCGGCGGGCCGAAGTATCGCACCCACCCGTCCGCTATTCTATTGGGACGCACAAGTGGTAAAGAGTACCCCAACATACCATGTTGCAGATGGTCATTTTGAAGCCGTCTGG